GGATCTAAAATAAATAATACATTTTTATTTATTTTCTTTAAGAGTGATGAGTGAGTCCTTTGGTATTTGGTGTAGCAGAAAGTGTGTTAATAAGGTGGATATTGGTAGCAGCCTGGAGAAATATCTGTTTTGGCTTGGTATTTGAGAGTTTGGACATCAGACCATGATAGGGTTAGTAGTGATGTTAGAAATAGTTCAGTGTCAATCTACTGTGTTTTTCTCAGCCCTAAGCAGGGTAGAAATATCATTAGCAGATTACCTTTTAACTACTTCTTTACATGTCACACAGCATTCTTTTATCCTGTAGTATCCTCATCCATTCTACTTTTAGCTAAGAAATGTCAGTTTATATCCATTTTGACCAGGCTCCATGAACTTGGTGCAGACATTGATTTCAGCTAACATCAAGAGTTTCTTTGTGACAATATTTTGACTGATCAAAATTATTTTATTTTCCTGTATTCCTTTTGTTTTCATTTTTTCTATAATGGAAGTTATGTGTGGAGCCTCCCTGATTTTTGGTATTTTTCTGTCACAAATATGTATGTTCTGATCCTGCAAACTTCCGGCATTTTTCAGTCATGTTCACTCTTTTCTTCTTCCTCTTTTTATTTGAGGGTTGCCTTCTCATTAGTTGAGAGAAGTATAGAAAGAGAAGTTTAGGGAGAGAGAGAAAGAAAGAGATAGGTAAGGGTTTTAAAAGAAAGAAAAAATGACTTATTTTAATATGAATTCTTTTTATTTTTGTTTATATATTTTATTTTCATCAGGACTCGCTACAAGTTCAACACTATCTTCAGTTGGCTTCTCTGAAGTATTTACATGTCATGAGATTTTGTGGGAAGAAAAAAGTTACATGTTATCACTCTTAAAGTTGAAGGGAAAGTATTATCCGCTCCTTACAAAGCCGACCTTGACCTTCATCACTCTCGATCTCGCAGATCTAGGTCAACAACAGGCCAGAAACCGGACGGCTAGTCCAATATTTGATGTCAAACCATACCTAGTACGCATCTGACTATGCTTCTAAACATCGGCAACCATAGACTTAATTTATTATCTATATATTTACTTGAACAAATCTTTGCAAATATCCTTAGACACTTTTTTCCCCCAAACTAGGCAGCTCGGCCCGGAGGCCTGGATCAAAGTGTAGTACACTACCTTTGTGAACTTCCGGTGCTTTTGTCGAGAGTGTTACTCTTCGGCGCGATCCCGTCTCCACGGTCGATCCGCCCTGGAAGGTGTAACACCTCTCTGACCTACCTCGCCTGGTGATACACTCTGGCGCGATCCCGTTTCCGCGGTTGATCCGCCCTGTGGAGTTGTATTACTGTGCTGCCTTTGGCCCTGTTTAGGACCCGTCTTCGCCTGGTGATACACTTTGGCGCGATCCCGTTCCCGCGGTCGATCCGCCCCGTGAAGTAGCATCACTGGTCTGCCTTGGCCCTGTTTAGGGACTCCGTTTCGCCTGGTGATACACTTTTGGCGCGATCCCGTTCCCGCGGTCGATCCGCCCCGTGAAGTAGCATCACTGGTCTGCCTTGACTGGTCTGCCTTGTTTAGGGACTCCGTTTCGCCTGGTGATACACTTTGGCGCGATCCTGTTCCCGCGGTCGGTCCGCCCTGTGAAGTAGCATCACTAGTCTGCCTTGGCCCTGTTTAGGGACTCCGTCTTCGCATTTCGGCCGAACCAACTACGTTCGCCGACCAATCTTAAACTACCGGGCCAGACCAGCTACTTTCGACCAGACCAGCTACGCTCACCTACCAATCCTAAACTACCAGGCCAGACCAACTACATTCGACCGGACCAGCTACATTCTACCGAACCAACTACGTTCGCCTACCCAAACCTAAACTACCGGGCCAGACCAACTACCGGACCAGACCAGCTGGACCGAACCAGCTTTCGTCGATTAACCAGTTTTCGGACCACACCGATGTAAATGTGTGAATAAAACGACACTTTTGTTCATAACAAAAACCTTTGCCTTTGTCCCATCATTGTCTTGGCTGTTCACATTTATCGTATACTTAAAAACCTTGCGGGGCGACATCCTACTCGGCCCCGCAACATGGGCGAGATTCTTAAAAATCTATGCCACCTGTGATTTTAGTTAGGGGTAGTAATCCAACAACAAAAAGAAAAGCAGTACAAGTATATTGACTTGGAGAAGTTTGCATGTAGTTTAAGTTATCAATGAGTCTTTTGATCTTTAACTACTTAGTTTATTTTTGGAGTGCAAATTAGCTGGCATATTTGAGTGGACTGACTACAACCTGTTGCAAAGTTTTATATTTGTTTTATCTTGGAAGTTTTTTAATTCACTCAAACAATGTGATTGGTTGAAAATTCTTTTTTTTAATACCATGTGATCTATTTTCTGCTGCCTCTATAAATTTTAAATTTTATTTTAGATTTTATTTTTGGGTAGCTTTTTCTCTGGAACATTATATTTGTCACTCCAGTTTTAATCTTTTTTGTGGTTTTTTAACATACTTCGAAAATCTGTACAGCTTACACACTGGTAATTTTATTGAATTGTAATACTACTACTACTCATTTCATATTACAAACTCAAAGAAACCATGGCTACAGGATTTATCACTATTCAAAATCCAACTTAGTTAAAAAAAAAAAAAAAAAAGTCATTAAAAATGTGGCTTATTGTTTTTCCATTCCTATGCACTCTGGTTTCTGTACATTCTGGCTGCGCCTATAATCCGACACCAAATTATAACCATAAACAAATTAAAAATACATTCAACCTTTTATTTGCATTTGAATAACACTTGGAATTTTCTGCTATACTCTGATACTCTTAGTTTGTCATGTGATATCAATAGCGTTGTAGGGCACTGCACCACGCATACTGACTACAATTGTATGTGGTAGTTTCTTAAGTGTATGCCGTGGTTTTCTCTGTTACTATGTAAAGAAACCTATTCTTATAATTGAAACAGTTAACCAGTCCCTTCGTCATTCATTTTGTTGTTAAATTTACACTATAAATAGTAGTCTTAGTATATCTTAACGAAGCAAACTAGCTTTGTGGGGCAGTGAACCTTGTTTTATTTGAAATCTCGCGAGACTGGAAAACATCACAACAGTAGAGGAGAAGCAGTCTGCTGCAATGGATGCAGCACTGACTTGCTACCACGATACTAGTATTAAAAATCCGCTCACTTGTATTTTCGGTGGCTACAATCGTTATCAACGACATCGCAATTGGAGCACCAATGTTGAAAACAGTGTTCTGAACTCGAAAAGATCCCTAACGCTCAGCAGAAGGAAAATTATATGCCTTCTTTCTTTTCTTTCCCTCTACTCGACTGCAGTTGAGGCTGCTTTGTTGCAGAAAGCAGACGATCCGCAACATAGCTGACCAAATCTTAAAATGTTTTAATCTATTTATTTAGTAATTCACTAATTCATTCATTCATTGTCCTGATACGTTAGTAAAGTTTGTTGGATTTTTTTTATTGATCATATCCGAATTTAAATTGCGTTTTTAGCACGCTTCTCTCTTTTTTAATTTTTAAATGAATGAAGTATTGAAAATGGACTGACATTTTTTTTTGTTTAAATTCTTGCGAAATTGTTGTTATTGTTAAAAATCAATAATTTCTTTGTCACGTGCATATTGTTAGGTTCAGAAACTTCAACCTGGCAACTAACGCATTTCAACCTTTATTTTAAAATATTTAAAACCTTTTTCTTTTTTTAATTATTTTATTAATTAAATTATTAAACTTCCTGATTTATAAAGAAAGACTTAAGAAGAGACACTAAAAAATTGACTAAAATTTATTTTTAATAACGTTGTTTTCTTTCAATGTTCTTTTTTTTTTTAATTGAGTGCTGCTCTTGTTTGCAAAACTTTTTGGATAATAATTATCACATTTTTTACCATTATTAATAATTATTATTATTAATTTTGTTTTATCAGTTAAGAAGAAGAATTAAGTCTTAAGTTAAAAAAAGAGCTAATTATTTCGCCGATGACGTTTCGGTTTAACTTTAAGATTTTTTTTCTGTTCTAAAATTTAATCAGTTTATAATTAATAAAAACTAAAATGGTAATTAAAGTTGAAAGTAAACTGATTCACCATACCACTCACCAGTGACATTTTTTTTCACTGAAGAGACAAGTCTCTAGTATTTATTTTAAAAAAGTAAAAACAAAAAATATAGTGGTTTTAAAAAAATCATAATGAATGAATCAAAAATATTTTAAACGTTTTTCAAGTAATTTTTCACTGTCACTCGATTTTAAAAAAAGAGAGAGAAATATAAAAAAAATGCATAACAACTAAAAAGAAAAAACTTACATAAAAAAAAATGTGACTTTTTTTAAATGGTTGACATAACCAAAATTTGACAATGACAGTTGATCTGTGGTAGTTACTGTAGTGTATATAGTGATATATTCTCAAATAATATCAACAATAACAAACATCTCCCAGGTAAACTAAGACTTGATCGGTCCTTCTCAGTAAGATACTTGTCAGTTTTCAAAATGACCATTGATTGCCCAATCTAAAAAAAAAAAAATAAATAAAAATAATTTTGTTTTGTTTTTATTTCTTACGTTGCCTACTTCCAATTCTGTATATTTTCGTTCTTATTAGCCACCTCCTGTGTCTATACAAGTAAATCGTTTTACTACTTTAACTACTACAATACATCTGCTTCCTATCTACTACACAGCTATTATACTACTACTGCTTCACTATCACATCTCTCGCTCCCTCCTACTTCTTTATACAGTTATTCCTTCTCCTCCTCCATTAGCTAAATAGCATTTTTCTTGCTCCTCCTCCTTCTCCTCTCCATCATCATCATCATCATATATATTTGCCCCTCATCTCGCGTTGTGCCAGTAGTCAGTAGTTTCCAGCTTCCTTGGAACACCAGTTGTGTCTCAGCTGAGGTCGCCCTCCCCCGTGGCTAAGCTGCATTGGGCAGCTGAGGCCAGCCAACGTCCACTGATGCCATGTGGAGGTACCCTTACTGGCTCTTCTTACCATGCGTGTGCTTCTCGTTAGTAGGACACAGTCTGCAAGGTAAGTACTAAAAATCCACTATTTTACCACCACTACTACTACTACAACCAGAAAGAAAGAGAATTTCTAGAGTAAATAATCTTCCCTATCTTTCTTTTCCTCGTCCTCACTCATTATTACACCTGCTTCTCCAACTAACGTTGACAGTGATACTGTTTTAAAATATACATAAATATTCCATTGTAAATCTTAACTAAAAAGTATATAATCTCTTCTTTTTTTTTTTTTTGTCGATATCATTTTTTTGTTGAATCTTAATTGTATGTTGACCAGAACAAAGATTCAAATTGTTTCTTGTAAATAAATGCCACACGATGTTTTGTACTATTCAATTGTGATGATTTCATTGCTTTATTGTCCTTTTACGAGGGATAATTAAATTAAAAACAATATTTTTACGTTAACTTATATTAATCATTTTATTTAAATAAATAAATTCTTGAATGTTATTGTTATTGCATGGTTTACTTTTTCGATTCTAAAAACAAAGAAGAGACTTCACTTCACTCATTTTGGTCCCGCCTTCTTATTATCCCCTCGATCAGAAAATAATTTCAGTTTGCTTATTTTCTCTTCTGATCTGTGTGATATCTCATGATATCTAAGCTAGAATATTCTCCTTAATCTTTTTAATCAGTATCGAACCAACAACATGCCATTTTGCTTCTCTCGGCTGAATGAACACTGAGTGGTGAACAGCCTTTGATTTTGATCTTTGTGTGAAATAGAGAAAAAGAAAACATGCTTTTTTTTTCTTCTTTCTCCTATCAATTTATTTTGAAATATTTTCCCATCGTATCTAATAACTCTTATTTAAATAGATAATCTGAAGACTTTCGACTGCCTCTTGATTCTCTAAGTCTAAAACCATCATTGTCATTTATTGCTTTTTTTTTTTAAGGTGTTACTGTTATGAATAATACCATGTTATACACACGTTGAATAACTTCACACAAAAAAATTCCATGATTTTTTTTTTGTCTCTTTCTATGCAATAAAAAAACATTTATCATTTTCCTATATAAAAAATATTATTTTTATTTTATTTCTCAAATAGATTCCTTCATTCATAAAGTTAAAGTATTAATTAATTAATTGCACTAAAAAAGTAAGACGTTTTTTTGGAGACGTAAGAATCGCACATGGATGATTGGAAGAATTTTTAAAGGAATGGAGTAAATCATTCGCATTTTAATATTTCTGATTATTTTTCTTTTGTAATAAGTACCGAAATAATAAAAAAAAAGTGTTGTGTACATTTAAAGAAATTATTCTTTTTTTTTCAATCTTCCTGTTTGTACTGTTTAAAAAATATTCTTCTTTTGGGGTTTAAAATTGTAATTTTTTTTTATGTGTGTGTGTATTATTTTTTAGATTCAAAATACTTTTTTTGATTTGTAAACAAAACACATCAAAACATAATCATTTTTTGTTGTGAATTTATTGTATGTATTAGTTAATTTTAGAGAAGTCCCTTGTACTATTTTGGCATTTTTACATTTCTTTCTTTTATGAATTGGGGAAACGGTATTTCTTTTTTTTTTTTTTTTTTTTTAAGCCTCATCTACATCTGTATTCTTTTTCTATTGAATGTATTTCTGCTTCTTCCACTACCACCAGCTCTCTCTTTAGCTTTTCTGTCCTTTCCATTGTAGTCCTATATATTCTCTCCCCCCAATTTATGCCATTTCTATTATTGGCGGTGTGCTGCTACAACTGCCTTGTACTTTCGTTACTTGGGCATAACTTGCAGAATAACTGATTCTAGAATTAGATTTCTACACACAATTTATAGCAGTAGTACAAGCATTGTCAATTTAAAAACCATGATTGCCAATGCTGAAACTGGCAACAATGGCTGTCCTATACATGACAGTTGTCCATTCTCACATGGTACCATAAAGGAACCAATCACAAGCTACAGTGCCAATCTAGCAACTATATATCTATGTTCAAGGTTTTCCTTGAAGTCAGTATGTTCATTCATAGTACTTGACTATTTGTTTCAGCAGGAAACATCAAAATGCTTCTCTTGGCAACAAAGATGCTTTGTGAACTTGAGGAAATAAACAGTAAAGATGAATGGATTATAGACCTCATGTGGCATTCATTATACAATAGAAACATGTTTATTATATAAAAAGTTTTTAGTACATTGTTCTGATGTACATTAAATTCATAATATCACTCTGTTAATGAATTAACCATTTCTTAATAAGATTCAATTTTTCATACAATTGTTTTATTTTTTTAAATTTCTTTTCCCTGTTCTTATTGTTCTTGAAATAAATGTTTGGAAAAACGTTAGTGTTTTATGATTCATTATTTCTTAATTTTGTCAAATTTGCTTTTGTGAAAAGTGAGCTAAAACTACAAATTAATAATAAAAAATTAGTAATGAAAGTACAATTCTGTAGAACTTACCACTTAAGTCATTTTGATACAATAAATATGAATGAGTATTGGATTGTGGTTCATTCGCCATGGGTTCTTTGTTAGCCTTGTTGTCAGTGAAGTGATTGGTTTGTGTAAGAAACATTCATGCACGTTACACAAATGTTTTTAATGCAAAGATTGGTCAACTACTTTTCTTTACTTCAAAATTGTAATGTTTAATTCCTTTGTATTTCTGTAAAATATCTCTTACTATATAAATATGCAATAATTTTTGCTAAGTCAAAGCCTTCAATTTTAGAGACTAAATATCTTCTACCATACATAGAGAGGATTTAATGTAAATGGATAATAAATTTTTCATGGGCAGTGAACATCACATCAATTGCAGATATTTTTCTTTATACTGTAAATAATTTTAGATTGTATTGTTCAGCGAGTTTTCATTATCTTAATCATGAAAAATTCTGTAATTTTTTTTTCTCTGCTTGTAAACTTTAATAAATCCCTTGCTATGTCATATGATAATGCCCAAGATTTTGCATATTTCAGGTCCAACAGACAGCATGTACATACTGCTTCTGAAATCTTGTAAAGGCCATGTTTGTGTAGCTCAACATACATGTATTTCCTGATTTCACCAATGGTTAATCGCATGATCCAGTGAATTACATAATTTTAAAGAATATTTCTTATGAAGAAATAATATCAATTCAATTTTCAGTTAATATTATGCATTTTAATTATGATTATGCTAGAAATTAAAATTCTCTTGGATTTATTTTAAGTATTTTAAATTTAACAGCATGTCAGATTTTGCCTACTGTTATAGTTAAATCAGCTGATTCCTTTCCTTGCTTCCTCTTCAATAGTTTTTCATTGGCTTAAGCTTTCATGCTTATTGCAAGTTTTATTTTCATATACTGATGCATCTTATATAAGTATTTTGACATTAAATTTGTTTAGATAGAATTTGTGCATATTTAGTTTTATGATGTTTCATGAAGTCCATTAATTTTTTATAAAATAAAGTGAGGACAACTTATTAACTTTTACTTAATTATTTAGTTTATCATTGGATACAATTAGTTATGATCATTTTCGCTTTTGATCTGAAAAATCTTCAGATATTATATTATACTGATGAATTAAAAATATAATTGTGATTAAAACATTAAGATGTTTTCCTTCATGCATAAATAGAAACAAGATTTGATTTTTACAGAGTCTCTCAGATTCAGCATGCCTCTCATTATAAAGTTCTTCCATCATTACATACCAAATTGTTTTAGTTTAATCAAAGTGGTAATTTGGCAATAGAATTGTTTTCTTAAAAGTATAATTTTTGGAAATTTAAAGTTGATGCAAAGATTAGTTTCTCATGAAATTAAGAGAAATCTTACATGACATGCAGTTTTTACAAAGGATTTAACTTTCTCTCATATCTAACTATTATTTCTATTGATCAAGGGTAGATGCTATCTTTTATATAAGAAAAGTGTCAATTCTTTAATAAATGGGCACCAAGAGCTAAAGCAAGTCTTTTATGTACAATACTAAAATAGTCATTGTATTTATTATGCTTGACTTAGTTTTAAATAGTGAGGCAAATCAGTAAGGATTGAATTTACAATGATTTGTAAGATTAACATCATAACTATTGAGCTACAGAAAAAGTCCTAGAATCAAGAGCAAGATAGTAGAAATATCTATAACAATTATTAACAGATTTTTTTTTTTTTTTTTACAGTTTATCAGATATAATTGATGAATATATTTCCTAAAAGTAGCTTGGTTTTTGCTGACATTTACCGAATCTCATTTTTCTATCTTATCTGACATTTTAAAACTGCTTAATTTGAATACTTATATACTAAATATATAAACAAATCCTAAAATCATATACAGTAAATTTATTTGGCATTTGTTTATTCTATTTGCTTAGAAAAAAAATAAGTTAATACACTTTCATCATTGTATTTCAAAAACCAGTATTGCAGAACATCTAGAAAAATTGTAAATATAACTAATAAGATATTAATAATGCAATGTTTTCTTGTTTGATAGTGTCTAATTGAGCAATCTGGCTAATATCTGCTGTGGTCAGTTCACTTTCCAAAATTTGAAATTGAGGAAAATTTTCAATCTATAGAAAGAGAAACAGATTGACAGTATGATGATGATGGTGACTAAAAAAGCAAGGATTTAAAAAAAAATATTTAGAGAACAACTTTGAGGAGAATATGTGTTTATATGCACACTCACTCACTCTCTCTAAAACTGGAGCTGTTGATAATTGTTGTAGATATTTCTATTACCATGTTCTTGAATTCACCTTTCAAACTAGGACTCTTACTGTAACTCAATAGTTACCATATTAATCTTATAAAGCATTGTAAATTCAATCCTTACTGATTTCCCTCACTATTTAAAACTAAGTCAAGCTTAATGAATACAATGACTTCTTTGATACTGTGCATGAAAAACTTGCTTTAATTCCAGGTGCACATTTCTTAAAGAATTGACATTTTTCTTATATAAAATATAGCACTCTACCTTTGCTTGATAGGAATAATAGATGTGTAAAAAGTTAAATGTTGTTAAAT